CAAAAAAAAAAAAAAAAAAGGAAAAAAAAAAGAAAACCTGCCCATCGCGAGTCTTCTCCCGCTTTGTGCAGCTGTGTGTCCCTCCCCAAAATGCCCCTGACGTACGAGTGATGGGAGGGCGGTGTGGAGAGATGCTGTCAGAGCTCCAGTGCAGCCCACGCTTCCTTTATTCTCGGGGTGAAATCATGACTGCAGCATGAGAGACTTAAGGAAGACACTGGGAAGGCACCAGCCCAGGGGTGGGCAAACCACACCCTACCCTGTAAATGGGACCCAGTGCCTGTTTTTGTACAGCCAGAGAGCTAAGAATCGCTTTTACATTTTTAAATGGTTGAAAACAGTATCAAAAGGAGAATAATGTTTGGTGACACAAGAAAATGACATACAATGTACGTTTCAGTGTAGGTAAATAAAGTTGTTTGGGAACAGGTCACACTCTGCTGTTTCCGCACTGCCTGTGGCTGCTAGCACTGCTGTAACCAAGCAGGACCTTACGGGGCCTTCGCGGGACAGACGCCTCCCCACACCCTCTGCTGTAGCTCCTCTCTGGAGGGCCTAGATAATAGTATCTGATGCACATTTCCTGAGTTGTTTTACAGTTGCCAAAACCACCAACAAACGAAGACATTAACTACTTGGTGACCACGAGCACATAGCCCCCAGGCCTCCTGGAGCCTAAGGATTGATCACGTGAACCCCTGTGACACCGCCCTGGTATCACCACCAACCAGAGAACTGTGCACGAGCTGATCACATACCCTGGGGCTCCCCTCTCTCACCTGGCCTTTAAAAATGATTTGCTGAAAACCATTGAGGAGTTTGGGTTTTTTTGTTTGTTTGTTTGTTTTTACTGTGGACCATTTTTGAAGTCTTTATTGAATTTGTTACAATATTGCTTCTGCTTTATGTTTTGGTTTCTTGGCCCTGAGGCATGTGGGATCTTAGCTCCCTGACCAGGGATCAAACCTGCACCCCCTGCATTGGAAGGTGAAGTCTTAACCACTGAACCGCCAGGGAAGTCTGAAGGAGTTCAGGTGTTTTGAGCACTAGCTGCCCCGGACTCCTTGCTTGGCACCTGCAATAAACGCTGCCCTTTCTTTCACCACGATCTGGGGTCAGTAGATCGGCTTTACTGTGCACGGGCGAACAGATCCAAGTTTGGTTCAGTAACACCGTGACAGAGCTGACTGAGAGTCATGGCACCTCATGGCAGTGGCTTGGGCACAGCTCGGAGCTGTGTTGTAAAGTAACAAGTCAGTGCCTTTCCACCTTCGTTCCAGAAGGTTCTTCTCCGTGTCTCGCTTAAGTTTCTTATATTGCTGCCACCTTTTCCCACAATTCAGGGGAGTTACTGACTCAGAGAAAATAGCCCCCGAGTCTGACAGCAAGTGAAGGCCAGAAAAAGAATGAACCCAGGAGATCGAGCTCCCAGGAGAGTTTAGGCCGATGCCTCCTTCCAGGACAGAGTTGACGGCATCTTTTCTGTTAAAGACGTCACCTCCCGTGGGGCAGGCCCCAGCCCAAGAAAGGGAGACCCATGCATTCCAGGTGGCATTCCAGGTGGGCAGGTGCAACCCGGGGCCCTCTTACCTGCATATCCCTCCTGGTGATGAAGCCCTTGCCTGCGGCATCACAGGTCTGGAAGAACTCCTGTGCCTTCCTCAGCATGGTCAGCTGTGCCGGTGCCAGCTCCTGGGTCCCCTCACATGGCAGGTCGTCCAGGGAGCCCAGGCAGGCCCCGCTCCCCTGGTGCCCCCAGCCAGGTCCCCGGGGTCTGGAGACCACTCTCCTGTTGGGCGTGGCCATCCAGATCTGTCAATTTCTTCAAGTCTTTTCAGAACCTGAAGGTGGAAGATGAGAGAGAGGAATGGGCGTGGTAGGGATGGAGAAAGGCTGGAAAAGGATGCGAGGGGATGGGAGGGAAGCAGAGGACCGCTCACCAGTGCCCATTTCTCTCTTCATCAGCACAAGCTTGGAACAAGGAGAAATGTGCCCTGTTCATTAACAGATCAGCCACAGCCCATCAAAGAGAGCAGAGAAGAACGGGGGAAAGAAAAACAGACATTTCCAGCTTGAAAGGAGGTGGCCAGAGAATTTCTCCCGATCTAAATCAACGGCAAGAACACAGATGCTGATAGATCAGCTTCCATTTCTGGAGTGCTTACTTGGAGGCAGGCACCACACCGTGGTCTCTATATACATTTTCCCATTTCCTCGCCTGCTAATGGTGGATTTCAGTCTTGGTGACCGGCAGTGGAGGAAGGTCTTTGGGGCTGGGTTCCTACTCTATAGCCCTCAAAATAGAGTGCATAGCAATCCACTACTACTGACCAGCTGTGTGAGCTTAAGAGAGCCCCAAAGCCACTCTGGATCTGGGAACTAGTAAACCTGATCTCTCCGTTCTAGGTCTGACTTTCTCTGGCTCCCAGCTTCCCTGGCCCATGTCACAGGCGATGCATGGCATAAAAGAGGCAATCTCACAGTTATAAAGTGGTCGGCTATGAGCACTAGGAGAGACGCACCACATCTTATTTGATTTTAACCCCGGGTATCAGCCCAAAGATGGTATAAAATAAGTGCTCATTGATTCCCTGTTGAATGAAGGAAGACGGCTCTTTCGTAAATTCTTTGCAGGGATGCCTGAAAGCATTTGTATTTCATTCAGGAAGCTCTTTATATGGGATTTTCATCTCATAAAGAGTAAGTCCAGACTTCTGTTTCCAGAAAAGATGGAATAACAGGGACTGGATTTACCCTCCCAGTTGAAATAACCTCAAATCCAGATTATATATATATATATATATATATATATATTTTTTTTTTTTTTTAATGGTTTTCCAGACACTGGATATCAGGCAATGAAGGATAGTGACCAGCAGGCCTGGGACTAGGGTGAGTGGAGGGAGGCCCCTAAAGTATCAGATTAAGAGGCGTTGAGTCTCAGGTCCTAACCCTGTACTCCCACTCTTGAGAATGTCTTCTTAAGGTGCAAGGAGAGGATTCCACTCTCGAAGCTGTGTATCTGAGAGTGACTAGCTTTTAAAATTTTGCTCCCAAAGGGCCCACACTTGCCTCCCTCTAGTCTAAGCCTTGTTCCTGAGAGAAGATGGGAAACAAATGAAACAGGCCCCATTATTACCTAAAGAGCTTTCAGTTCATGGCACAGGAAGGGGAAACGCAGGTGGAGCCTGACAGACACCCTAAACTGAGGCAACCCAACTATATGCTGCCTAAAAGAAATGTACTTTAGCATAAAGACACAAATAGGGGACCTTCCTGATGGCGCAGTGGTTAGGAATCCGATTGCCTATGCAGGGGACGCGGGTTCAAGCCCTGGTCCGGGAAGATACCACATGCTGCGGAGCAACTAAGCCCGTGCGCCACAACTACTGAGCCTGTGCTCTAGAGCTCGCGAGCCACAACTATTGAAGCCCGTGCACCTAGAGCCCGTGCTCTGCAACAAGAGAAGCCACTGCAATGAGAAGCCCATGAACCACAACAAAGAGCAGCCCCCACTCGCTGCAACTAGAGAAAGCCCACGCGCAGCAACGAAGACTCAACGCAGCCAAAAGTAAATAAATAAATAATAAATAAATAAATAAATTTATATTTTAAAAAAAGACACAAATAGGTTAAAAGTAAAAGACTGAAAAAATATATAGCATGTTAACACTAGTCAAGGGAAAGCTGCATATTAATATCAGGCAAAGTAGATTCTATAGAACAAAGAATATTAATGGAGATAAAGTCATTTCATAATGATAAAGAGGGCGATTCATCAATAGGATAAAACAATCTAAACACATATGCACCTAACAACAGGTGCAAAAAGCAAATGCATAAAACAAAAACTGATAGAACTTCAAGGGGAGCTAGACAAATCCACAATCACATTCAGATTTCATTATCCCTCTATCAATAATTAATAAAACAAGAAGACAGAAATCAGTAAGGATACAGAAGACTTGAACAAAACTGTCAACTATTTTGACCTACTTGACATTTATAGAACAATCCACCTAACAAAACCTGAACACACTTTCAAGTGCACATGGAACATTTACCAAGACAGTCCATATTCTGGTCCACAAAACCAGTTCCAATAAATTTAAAAGGATTCAGGCATACAAAGTATGTACTCTGATCACAGTGGAATTATGCTAGAACCAATAACAGAAAGACCTCTGGAAAATCTCCAGATGTGGAAACTATGTAACATACTTCTAGAAACCCATGGCTCAAAGGAGAAATGAAAATGGAATTTAAGAGTAATTTGCACTAAATGAAAATAGAAGAGTACAATATTTCAAATTTTGTAGGATATTTGCTAAAGCAGGTACTCAGGAAAAAATTTATAGGCCTAAACAAATATATTAGAAAGGAAGAAAGATCTCAGGCCAATGGCCTCATCTTCTACCTCTAGAAACTCGAAAAAGAAGAGTAAATTAAACCCAAAGTAAGGAGAAGAAATAATAACAATCAGAACAGAAATCAATGAAATAGAAAACCATAGAGAAAAACAATGGAGAAAATCAACAAAACTAAAAGCTAGGCCTTTAAGAAGATCAATAAAGAGAGAAGATACATATTATAGTATAAGGAATTTAAGATGACATCATTGCAAATTCTTCAGACATTAAAAGGATAATAAGGGAATATTATGAACTACTTTATGCCAATAAATCTGACAATTTAGATGAGATGGACAAATTCCTTGAAATATCACACTAAATATCAAAGCTCACTCAAGAAGAAATAGATAGCCCGAACAACACTGTATCTATTTAAAAATTTTAAAAGAAAATCAACAACTCAGTTGTTTTTAAATGGACAAACATTTGAACAGACGCTTCACCAAATAAGACATGTGGATATCAAATAACCACATGAAAATGTTCATCATTATTAGTCATAAGCGAAATGAAATTTAAAACCAAAATGAAATGCCACTACACACTCGTTAGAATGTCTGAAATGAAAAAGATTGACCAAGTCTTGGCAAGGATGTGGGGTGACAGGATGGAACACTCATATGTCGCTGGTGGGAATGTACACAAACGTACAATCCCTTCGGAAAACACTTTGTGGTCTCCTAGAAAAGTCAGACAAACTTCTACCATCTGATACAGCCATGACACTCCTCAATATTACTTGAAAAGTCAAACAAAATTCTACCATCTGGTACAGCCATGACACTCCTCAATATTACTTACCCAAGAGAATAAAAGCTTACGTCCATACAAAGACTTGTCCATGAAGGTTCACAGAAGCTTTATTTGTAGTAGCCAAAAACAGCCCAAATATTCATCAGCAGGTGAACTGGTAAGATTGTGGTATAAACACACAAAGGGATGCTATTCAGCTTTGAAATGAAGGGACTGTTGATCCAAGCAACAAACTGTATGAATCTCAAAATAATCATGTGAGTGAAAGAAGCTGGACAAAAAGAGTGCATCCTATTTGATTCTACTTATATAAAATTATAAACAACGAAGACTCACCTATAGTGATAGAAAAGAGATAAGGGAGGGTGGGGAAGGGTGAAAAGGAGGGATGACAAATGGGCAAGAGCAAACTTTTGGGGGTGTGGATATGTTCGACATCTTAATTGTGGTGATGGTTTCATGGAGATATACATATACATACAGACAGACACACACAAACGTACATACATATAGATACAAATATATATCAAAACATCAAATTATATATTTTAAATATGTGTGGTTTATTGGATGTCAATAGTTGACTAGATCTATTTTTTTAAAAAAAAGAATAGGTCAGCCAGACCCTTCTCAGATTCCCCGGGACTTGCAAATCTAGGCCTGCCTACTGTGTTTATTCCCAGGATCCTGTTTCTTCCTCTTACCTTCAACTCTGGCAAGCCAGAAATGGCTGAAAATTAAGTAATTTCCCTGTGAAAATGCTCAGCCTCTTAGTGTAGGGAGCTAAATGAACTTGGAAAGTAAGGGAGCAGGGCAGAGTCCCTCCTGCAGACAATTTCCCTTTATGAGTTCACCTCCTTTCTCCTCTGGCTTTGACCTGCAATCTTCCCACAGCATCTGTGGGGTTTCCGAGTAGAAAGGAAGACAAAACGACAGAAGTGCATCTACTTTCATTTCAAAATAAAATGGAAGCCCTGTGATGGGCTTGGCTGCCTCACACTTGGATGAAGCCCTGTGATGCCCTGGGCCCCGGCTGGACACAGCTTTCTGTCTCCAAGATATTTTTGGCCACCAGACAGTACACCCATAAAAGGGAAAAGGGTGCGATGCGTTCCAGAGGCAAAGGGCAAAGGCCATCACCATCACAAAGGGAAAAGAGAGCCCACTTTTATCTGCCCGTCTCTATCAGAGCCGGCAAACTGCCATTCTCCCTCCAGAGTGGTTCCATGAAAGCCTTTATACACAGATGGAAATTATCCAGCCCTCAGATATTTCCAGGAACATTTCCCAGACCTCCAAAGTAACTCACAGCTTAGTAACTGCTGTAATCAGAACGTTCACGGACCAAGCCCATATCCCTTCTGAAGGCCCTAAGCTCCCTTCCGAGTCACTCCGGGCTCCACGGAGCTGGAGAACGGCTGATACCTTGCGGCACACCACGCCCGAGACCGACTTGAAAGTCACCCTGATCTCCCTTGAATCTCTCCTGCAGCAGACAGTTAGGAAGTCAAGAGCCCCAAAGCATCTTCAGGATCCATTCAAATACCATGAATTACCCAGGCTCCAATGGAGGAATATTCTCTATGTGGCAGTGCCCCACATGTCCACCACTAACTCCGCGTTGGCCGTGTCAAAGACAGG